GTAAACCACTAGTTTATTAGTGATGAGTAGATATCTTAGTCATTTAATCTTTACCTTCTCCATTTTAGAAACATGTAGGAAAATGCAACTTCATTAGGATCACCGAATTGGTGTTTGAGTTCTCAACTACTTGGTTTGGGTGTGGGTTCAATCTATACTAAATACTCTATTGAAGAGTCAGGAGGTGTTCTAATAGGTCTGCCTTTATATGTTATTTGGTCTTTTTTTTCTTGCAACTTTAATTCTTTGTTCTGTATATTTAGTGATTTGGTTACTATATGTTATGGGGAATTTCCACTCTGGTCCAGTCTATTTGGTGTTCTGTATGCTTCTTGTACCTTGATAGGCTTCCCCTTCTTCAGGCTAGGGAATTTTTCTTCTATGATTTTGTTGAAAATATTTTCTATGCTGTTGACCTAGGTTTCTTCTTCTCCTTCTATTCATATTATTCATAGATTTGGTCTTTTTTTTTTTTTTTTTTTTTTTTTTNTTTTTTTTTTTTTTTTTTTATAGTGTCCCAGATTTCCTGGATGTCTTGTGTCTGGGTCTTTTTAGATTTCACAATTTCTTTGACCGAGGTACTTCTCTTTTATCTTCAGGGCCCAACTATGTTCATTGCTACTGTGTTCATAATAGTCAGATACTGGAAACAGCCTAGACGTCCTTCAGTGGTTGAATGGGTAAAGAAAATGTGGTACATTTACATAATGATTTATTACACAATTATTTTAAAAAATCTTGAAATTTGCAGGTAAATGGATGGAGCTAGAAAAAAAAATCATCCCAAGTGAGTTGACCCAGAAAGACAATATGGTGTACATTTACTTATATGTGGATGTTAGCTGTTAAGTCTCTGATAAGCTTGGCAACTATAGAGGGGGTTGCAAGAATTACCTTGAAAAGGGGTCCTGCCACTTAGGGGAAAGGGCAAGGGATGTGGATCTGGAGGGGAGAGAAGGACCTGGTCCATGATGTTGATTGGAGACTGACAGGGGTTGGCGTATGACCAGGTAGGTAGTGGTCAGTAAAGTTCCATAAAGGACCTGGGCTGTGGAGGCACATGCCTTTAATCCCAGTACTTGGGAAGCAGAGGCAGGTGGATCTTTGTAAGTTTGAGGTCAGTCTGGTCTACAAGACAGCGAGGGCTATTACACAGAGAAACTCTATTGAGAAACCCTATCTCGAAAAACAAAAAAACAAAAGAACAAACAAAATCCATAGAGGGAGTGGAGATGATAGAGTAAGGAGGTGAGTAGGGGAGGTGACAGTTTGGGTTAAAGATGCGTCATAACCGGTCGTCTGTGCATGAGCTCAAATAGTGAGATGGAAGGAGGTTGCTTGGGAGAGCCTGAAGTCTGAGAAAGGCCAGAGGTAGGAGCTTTACCCGATCAAGGTAAAGTTCTTGTGAAGTTTGACAAGGGTGTTTTTTTTTTTTTTTTTAAAAGCATTTTTATTATTTGGGAAGTTCACATAACACACACTTATTACCCTTGTATCCAAGTCCTCCCCCCAGAAAAGACTTGGGGGGAGGGAGAGAGAAGACAGTCCAATTTTTTTTGTCCATATGGTCACTGGAGCATGATCAACCTCCTGGTGGCCTGCCCCTTAAAGAAAAGTGAGTCTCCCCCACCACCCCAGAAGGCCATTTGTTTTGGAGACTTACACTTCAGCTTCTGTCTTACAATTAGGAGTTCTCTTCAATGGCTTCCTGTCTAGGTTGTTACTTTTGTTGGGGGTGGGGGTTGTCTATGTCTTTCATTGGGAGTCTGCAGTTGTCGATACTGCAAAAGTTCCTTGCCTTTTACAGTCAGCAGGAACATAGCTCATGGACATCCATCTGGCCTCCAGTGTCGACATGTGTCATGGACCTCAGCATGTGTCATGGACCTCAGCACTCACAAAGCCCCCAGTGGTAGTCTGGCCAATGGGCATCCATACGGTTTTAGGTGGCAGCACAGACTATGGACATCTGCATGGCTTTTAATGGTAACACAGGCCACGGACATCAACACAGCCCCCAACTGCAGCAGGATCACAGACCCAGCAATGCCCCCCACAGTGCTACCATGGGCCACAGACATCAACATGGCCTTCAGTGGTAACAAGGACCACCATTGACATCAACATGGGTCCTGGCAGGACCACAGACCCAAACATGGATTGCAGCAGCAGCATGGACCACAGACATGAACATGGCCTCAAGGCAATACAGGCCATAGAACATCCACATGGCCTCTCTCCTCTGTTCCTCCAGCCTTCCCACCCCTGCATTCATTCATCACAGTGACATTGGAAACTGCAGCATGTCACTCAGTCTATTATTTTTTGCCCACACAGCTCTACATGCAAATATTCATGGCCACGAGCACTGGTCTGGTCAGCCTCTGGTCTCTGAAGCACTGTAAGGAGCAGACCATCACAGAGACAGCCATATTTTAGGTTCTCATCTTTGGTGGCAATGCTGTGTTCTCGGATCCGGTTCTGCTGCAGTGGTTCCTCCTTGAGGCTCCTCAGCTCAGAGGTGGAGTAGCTTGACCTACACAAAGTGCTAGATCTGGGCCTGGATGGCTGTCGAGTTGGTCAGGTCACCCCCTTACAGTGGGCTCTTCCGGGTGGGCATGACGGGAAACTTAAGTGTGGCACCTTCTACTAACGCCACCTGGAGAGAAGGAACCTGGGACCGAGGTAGAGTTTGTGAGCCTTTAGGCATGAGCAGGTGGAACAGGTTGTGGGACAAGATAGTGGTGGATGATCCACAAGTTGGTTGTTTGGGTCTGCGAATGAGGAGCTGCTGAAGTACATATGCGGAGTGCCGGTCCCTGGGTGAGAAGACCTAATTTCTTTGACAGGTATTCTACAGGTGCAAAGGGAGGCCACACAGTTGGTGGCCTAGGACTCTGAGGGCACAGCTCTCTTTTTCTGTATATAGAGGGAAAAGGGATGGGTTAGCTTTAGAAGGTGTAGTGTGGGGGCCTAAAGGAGGGCCTGCGGGAGCTTCTGAAAGGGCTGTGAGGAGTGGGCTGCCTTATATAGAGGGTGGGCAAGCATGCAAAAGGAGGGGACCCAGGAGTCTAAGAGGGTCAGTCCAGGCGAAAGCAAAGGTGGTTTGTGACTGTATGTGAAGGGGGGACAGCAAAAGCATCCTTGAGAAATGGGAGGTGCCTGAGGGGATAATGGAAAGGAGTGTGTCCGGGTAGAAGGGGGACCACTGCAGAATTGAAGAGATGGAGATCTTGAACCAGGCAGTAGGCGCCATTGGACTTTTTAACGGCAAGTATAGGGGTGCTAACGGGGAATGATGTGGAATGAAGTAGATTTTTCTTTTCTTAGGAGGTCAGAGATGACAGGTTTCAATCCCCTGAGGCTCTGGAGTGAGAGCAGGTCCTGGGCTTGGGTGCACTGGGTAGGGTCTTATAACTGAGGGAATGGTGCTTGGAAACCTCAGACTTGGGGGTCCGCCTGTGAAGTGTGTTGGAGCCAGTAGGTTGGGTGGCTAGGAGGGGAGGCTACTGGTGAGCTTGGGGTCAAGCAAATGGGGAGCAAAGGAAATAAAGGTTCCCACTTTGACTAGAAGACCCCTTCCTAGTAAGGGGCTGGCAGGTTGCCACCAGCAGGAAGAAATGAGAGGAACACCCCTGAAAATTCAATTGAGTGATAAGGTCTGGGGAGGTGGTAAGACTGTCTTCCTACCCCAACAATAGGGGAATGAGGAGAGGTGGGTACCCAAAACTTCAGGACCAAGTAAGTAGTTCTGGTGTCCAGGAGGAAGAAGGATGGACTGCCCTGATACTGTAACAACTATCCAGGGCTCTCTGTCAGAGATGACAATTGGTCAGGCCAAGGGAGCCCAGAGTCCCCTCAGTCATCCATGGCTAGACCTAAAAGGTTAGCTGAAGGGTGGCCTAAGTCTGATGTCCCCATGTCTTGAAGGACACGGGGCAGTCAACAGTCCAATGTCGCTCTTGATGGCATTTTGGACATTGTTGAGATGGCCTATGGGGGTTAGGGCAGGCCCGGGTGCAGTGACCCTACTGACTGTGTTGGAGGCAGGGACCTGGTGGCAGATGCGGAAGCTGGTTAATGAATGGCCTTGGGCAGCGTTTGCTATTTCTTTTCTGTTTACGAGCCTTCTCATCTCTCCCCTGGTACACCTTAAAGGCCAGTGCTAAGACTTCTGCCTGTGGGTTTATGGGTCCTCTCTCCAGATGCTTAAGCTTGACCTTAATGTTGAGGAAACTCTGGGGAAAGAAAGAGGTGATAAGTTGTTTACCCTCTGGGTTTTGGGAGCCTAGACTGGTACACTCTAAGACGAGGTTTGTGAGTGTTGCATTAGGAGCAGCAGGGCTGCGTCCTGGCACCCAGCCGCCCGCATGGCTAGCTTATGCCCCGAAATAATTACATGGAAACTGTATTTTTTGAAACACTGCCTGGCCTGGCTAGTTCCAGTTTCTTATTGGCTAGCTCTTACATATTGTACATATTGTACATTGCTGAAGCTAACAAAATGTATTTACTTACATTTTAAAAACACCAAAGGTCCAAAAAGTATTGGTTTTATTTTGTTTTGAATATTCACTTCCTAAGAACAAAAAAATCTCCACTGGAAGCACTCACAACCACTGGATGTCATAAGGCAGGATGTAGTATGGACAAATCCACTTATACAAAACTCTGACTGAAAAGGAGAACGTTTGCTATAAGGGAATTAAGTTGGGTGATCAGATTGCAGGATAATCATGTACTCCTCTACCCACAGCAAAAGTCTCTCAGACAGTACAATAATGATGGCTGGGAGTTTATACACAATTGATTTGGGAGTGGCTATAAAAAGCAACCAGAAAACACCTAGGTGGAGTTGTTTCCAGGCATTTAATTTAGTAGATTCTAAGTGCTATGATTTCCTAGAGGGATGAACACCTCAAATCTCTCTATGCAGGAAATTGTAATGTGTTCACTGTGAGACATCAAAAACACTTAAAATAGAAACTGCCAAGTGTACCTGTGGTTTGAATGTCACATTTATTAGGAGATTAAGAGGTGCATTATCCACGGACTATAAATAGTGCACAGCTGACTTTATTCACAGTCAAGCAGAAATGAAGCCAGTGCCAACCTATTTTGTAGACACTCTTGTTCGTTTGTTCCAAGAAAAGTTTGCACCGTAAGACTTGGACTTGGGTTTTGGAACTTTCTTCTCTTCCACATCATAGCTCCATCCTAGAAGGAAAAACAAACAAAACCAAAACAAACCCACAGGAACAGAATTAATGAGGATGCTTTAGAAACACAGCAAAAAAGACTTACTTTTATAATTTCATGTTCATTTATGAACAGGAATAAATGTCAACATATCTGAAATATAAATATTTAGTAACTTGTTTCCTCTCAATCCTTTGCATAGGAGTCCAAACACTGCCTGAAGATGGGTTGTCATATTTCAAAGTAAAGGTGTAACCTATGATTTAAATTTCTCCATACTTAAAATTCCTTGCTTAATTACCAACGGCTATGCAATATGTAGAATTAGATTTCTACAATGGCTTAATTTGTGACAAATTTAACCACTACAAAAACCACTCAATAATATAATATAATAATAATCACCTCAACTGCTCTAAGACCTAGTGTCTTTATGACAGTCTGGAACACATCAGAAAAAAGGGAAGAGGATCAAGTTCTGTCCCCTTACTAACAAAAGTAAAAACTGAATTTCAATATTTGTTTAATGGTTAAATGATTAGTTCAAATCATAGACTAACAACACAAATTTTGAGACCTGATTAAAATCCAGCTGGATCTGAATATCTGGCGGGGCCGTGAGAGTTGTACTTAAACTCTCAATTTCAGGAGATTTTAAGACAAACCTAACAGCCTTTGGTCAAAAATGTTCTTTTCTGAGTTTGTGTCTTCTCTCCAGATGCCTTTGTGTGTGTGTATGTGTGTTTAATAACTTTGAAAACTGGACTTCTTTGTAAGACTATCTCTGTTTTGAGTCCCATTTAGTTCTCCCCAAAGAAGGGAAAAATTAAATCAACAATCCTCCTTGAACAAACTGTTACCCTTATGCTCCCTTAGGCTAAGCAACTCTTACAGCTTTTATTTTCCTTTATAAAATCCACTTTCCCAACATTCTTTTCTCTCTGGACTCTTTTTCAAACTGCATGTTGCATAGTCTAAACAAGTGACTTCTAAAGAATTCTACTATCTCTCCATGGGTATAGTATATGAGTAACGCCCAGGCCAATTATCAATTATGCCATAACTGACTTGTGAAGTTCAAAATATCCTACTGTAATTGTCTAAGAAAGGCTAACAGTAGCACTGAATATGGCACTTTAATCTGTTAAACTACTTGATTCTCCACCATCCTATTACTGGTATTTAATGTTCAAACAAAGCGCAATACCTACAAGGAAACTGGAAATCAGAAAGGCAAACTCAGCAATAGACTAGCTCAACTCTGTCAGTTTTTTCCTTTTCTTTTTTTGGTGGTAGGTAAGTACATACAATATAATTGGCAGAAAAAGGGTTTATGACGGAAGCTCCCGGCTTCAGAATAGTCTTTCTCACTGTTTATCAGGTCCCTGAGATGTCTAGAGTTTGGGATGTGGCAGATGTGTTTGAATGGCTGCCTTAATTTAGCTATGTGATGTATGTGAGCTCATCACAATAAAGTGGTTAAGAAAAGAAACATAAAAGTAACTATTTAATTCATCTGCTCAACATTACTCTGAGTAAATGTTTTGAGTACTTCCCTATTCGTTAAGAAAGCAACATTACAGTTTAAGAGAAGCAGGTCTCATAAAATAAAGTACATTAGATGGTTACTCTCATTTCAAATCATTTATTAAAAGACATTAGGATAGTATATACTTCATAAGGTTGTCATGAGGAATGGATCTACTCAAAGTAGTTATATAAATAAATTTCTATTATACTGAGTCAATTATATCTGTCTGTGTGAGGAATTGGACATAATTAGCAACAACCTAGTTATTAAGTATTGGAGTAGTCTGAGCATGATCATTCAAAGACTGCAAACTTGTAAGGCATTTTCCACATCAATCGGCAAATGCTGATAAGTGTAAAATACAATTTAATGAAACAAATACAACACATTTACTGAACATTTTCTATTTGTTTAAATTACTGATAGCTTATTATATGGGAAGGACTATTTTTAGAGACTGGGGGTAAACAAAGGAATAGAAAAAAAACAAAACCCTCTAAGCTGTTTAAAGAAGAAGAAAAATGAATTGTTTATATAAATGCATAGTAATCAACGTGCTGAAACAGACACTCCTTGAATGAAACTACATGCCAACTCTAATGACTTCTAGAAGGGCAAGCCCTCCTTCCTTCCTGGAGAAGATCTGGGAGTGCACCAGATAGTCATCTCTGAGGAAGATTTCAGGGAAAGAAAAAGTAGCTACTTAGGCCCTGAGGCGAGAACACAACTGGTAGACTGAGGTCTGTGTTTGAGTTTGTAAGTTACTTGGCTTATGGGACAGGCATTATACATAATAAATTATACATATAATATATTTATATATACTGGGTGGTGGTGGTGCACACCTTTAATCCCAGCACTGGGGAGGCAGATCTCTGTGAGTTCAAGGCCTGCCTGGTCTACAAAGCTAGTTTCAGGACAGCCAGGGCTACACAGAGAAACCCTGTCTCAAAAAAAAAAAAAAGTTATATGTAATTGGTTATGGTTTATCTATATCCAGACTAAATATATATATCCAGACTAAATATATATATTTTCAAAACAAAGCACATGGAAAAATAGGTTGAGTTTAAAGCCATACACTGTCCACCTCACATGTAAAACTAAATTTTTAAAAATGTATCTTGTAGGGCTGGCGTTTGATTCCCAGCAACTGTATGGTGGCTCACAACCATCTACAGTGGGATCTGATACCCTCTTCTGGAATAAGGGTGTACATGCAGATAGAGCATTCATACACATAAAACAGAGCATTCAGACACATAAAATAAATAAAATATAAATATATATACACATGTATATTGTAGTTACCGTTTTGCTTTACCCACTCCCTTTCAACCTAATTGTATACTTTTTTTCATTTAAGAAGTATTTTTACAAGACTTTTTAAGAATTCCTGAAAATGAAGTGTATGTACCCACAGTGCTCACTCCACCTTGTTCCAACTATGGAGGAAGAACCAAGAAGTTTTCTAATGTTGAGTCTACGTCTTGTTATGGCAGTCATTGGTTAGGTTACTCAGGAATTCTATGATTGACTGATTATTTATTTAATGCCAAATGATGGGTAAGAAACATGCTTTATCACCACCTACTGACTGGCAAGCCAGACTTTCCAGTTTAAGAATGGTGTCCTAACAGGAAATGAAGAAGTGGGAATATATGGACAAAGTCCACTGCACACCTTACATGAGAGCCTGGGCACAGCTCTGCTACTTATTATCTGTCTGGTTACAGACTTTCAGAATGCTGTCAGGGCCAGTGCCATGAGAGAAGAGTAGAAAAGTTGGACGCAGGTTTAGTTTTTCCTTTATAGTTATAAGTTTAGTTTCATGTATAGTTATCAATGGTGACACAGTTCAGAAGAGACCTGTGGTCTGCATCTGATCCCTATGACTGCTTCCCCCGTCACATGACTGTTAAGCTCTATAGGACAAACTCCCCTTATGTTTTTTTGTGGAAACCAGCTTTGTTCTTAATGCTGAACAGGCGACTGCATTTGTCTGATGGAAAGCAGTGGGGTTATGAGGCAGGCTGGCAGCAATCACAGAAGACAGTGAAGTAAAGGAAGACCATGGAACCTTGGATTTTCATTCACCAGCAGATATTTCTGCTCCGTTCTGGGACACTAGTATGAGGAAGCTGCAAGAACAACACTTGAGAAGACACTGAACCTGTACTTAGCAATGGGTAAGCTACGGGAATTATACACACCCTTTATTTTTACTTCTCATCTGAAATTTGCTGCTACAAAGGAAGAATTTTATATGAAACTGAACACAGATTCAGTTAAATATAAAAAACAAATACTTCAAACTTGTATTTTAGATGAAACAGTACATTGTCTAAAGAATGCTTATATAAAACGAAGGTGCAGTCTACGACAATGGTCCCATATGTTGTCTTATTAGGTCACTCAAAACCAGGCCCTGCTTTTTCCAGCTGTGCTACAAGAAGATCAAAGCAACTGAGTCCAAGGCAGCTGCCCAGGGATGGAGTAAGGCTCCTGGGACTGCCATCACTTCCCACTGAGGAGAGTAGCCATATGGCACAGATTAGCCACAAATCCACCCACCAGCACCTACATGATGAGAAGCTGACTGCTGTTTCACACACTAGAATGTTTTCACAAAAATATTTTGCACTTTAAGCTATAGTATAAGAGAAGTACATCTGGCAAATGCTTAAGAAACTTAAAATGTGATCTTTAACGTCCAATAACTATTTTTTTTTCTAAAAGCAGGCCATCGTATTTTATAGTCTACACTGTGTCTGGACTGTTCTATTTCCGACGCAATGATTGGTGCAATCTTTTCACACACGCACGTATATACCATGCACGCACACATGCCCTTGAAAACAAAGCAGACACAATAGTTATGACTTTCATATGAAATAAAGAAAAACCCATTCATTTTGATTTACAGAACCATTTCATTTATGGCTCAGTAATAAAGAAATACAGAGAAACATTCATTTGTTCTTTTACCGCTTGACAAATTTTACTGTAGATACCCCCAATTCCAGTCTTGCAAAAGGTTCTTCTAGAACCTTTGAGAACACAACCACAAACCTGACGTTAATTAGGATGGAAGCAAACAGTTTAATAATTTTTGCTGAAACAAACAAACACCATATAATGTGACACACAACTGGAAGATACTGCTATACCTTGGGAGATCCGAACAAACCAGTCTGAGACACTACAGGAGGCACAAGGGTAAATATGTAAGGCTTCAAGCTGCTTTCCTGGACTCTAATCTGGTATATCACACCTAGTGGAAGGCTAAGCAGACACCTAGCGTTTGAGGTGAGGAAAGGTAGAAAGACAGCTACCCAGGAATTTTACTTCAAAAATCCCACTTTGAAATGATTGTAAGTATCTTAGAAAATGTTTTAGGAAATACTAAGGAAGTGACTAAGGTTGTGGATAAAGGGGCAGAACAACCATCCTGTGGAAGGACATAGGCGGTCAGCAAGCAAATAAA